CATCTCTTCTAGGTTGTTGAATTTGTTTGCACATAAGTGTTCATAGTAATCTCTGATTATTCTTTTGATTTCTACTGAACCTGTTGTGATTTCTCCTCTTTCATTTATAATCCTATTTATTTGTGTTTTCTCCCATTTTTTCTTTGTGAGCCTGGCTAGAGGTTTGTCTATTTTGCTTATTTTTTCAAAGAACCGAATTTTGGTTTCATTGATTTTTGATTTTTTTTAAATTTCTATTTCATTTATTTCTGCTTTGATTTTTATGATTTCCCTTCTTCCTCTGGCTTTAGTGTTTTTTTGTTATTCTTTTTCTAGCTCTTTGAGATGTGAGATTAGGTTGTTTCTTTGAATTCTTGTTTGTTGATGTGAGCCTGTATTGCTATATATTTTCCTCTTATTACTGCTTTTGCTGCATCCCATACATTCTGGAAAGTGGTGTCCTACTTGTGGTTCACCTCAAAGTATTTTTTAATTTCTTCTTTGATCTCCTCATTAGTCCAGTGGTCTTCCAGTAGTGTGGATTTCAATTTCCATGAAGTGGGAGGGTTCCTTGTTTTCTTTTCATAATTTATTTCTAGTTTGATGCCTTTATGATTGGAGAAGATAGTTGGAATGATTTTGATCTTTCTGTATCTGTTGATGTTTGTCTTGTGGTTCAGTATGTGATTGATTCTGGAGAATGAGCCATGTGTGCTTGAGAAAAATGTGTACTTGGATTTTTTTGGGTGCAGTGTCCTATAGATGTCTGTTAAGTCCATGAGTTCTATGTCTTTATTTAGGGCTCTAGTGTCTTTGTTTATTTTTTGCCTCATTGATCTGCCCATTGGTGAGAGTGGAGTGTTGAAGTCTCCCACTATATATGTATTTTCTTTAATGTCCATTTTCAGAGCTGATAATATTTGTTAACATATTTTGGTTCTCCTACATTTGGTGAGTATAAGTTGATGAGTGTTATAGCTTCCTGATGTATTGGCCCCTTGATAATAATGTAGTTTCCATCTATGTCTCTTTTTACTTTTTTTAATTTGAAGTCTATTTCATCTGATATAAATATAGGTGTTCCTGCCTTCTTTTTTGTTTCATTTGCTTGTAGGATTGTTTTCCAACCTTTTACTTTCAGTCTGTGTTTATCTTTTGTGGTTAAATGTGTTTCCTGCAGACAGCAGAAGGATACATTTTGTTTTTTAATCCAGAGTGCTACTCTGTGTCTTTTTATTGATGAGTTTAATCCATTTACATTTAGAGTTAATATTGGTATGTTGGCATCTATATTTGCCTTTTTGTTTGTCTTTTTTGTGATTTTTATTCCTTGCTTTATTCTGTTCTTCTTGTTCATTCCTCTGTTGGTTTTAGCTTTAGAACTTCTTGTAGAATTTTTTGGAGTGGGGGTTTAGTTGTAATGAATTTCTGGAGTTTCTGTTTGTCTGAGAAGGTCCATATTTTTTCTTCATAGAGGAAGGAGAGCTTTGCAGGGTAAAGTATTCTTGGTTGGCATTTGCTGTTTTGAAGTTTGTTGAATATGTTACTCCATTCTTTTCTTGCCCGTAGTGTTTCTTCAGAGAAGTCTGAGGTTAACCTGATTGATTTTCCCTTATAAGTTATCTGTTTCTTCCCCCTTACCAGTTTCATTATTTTTTCTTTGTCTTAGACTCTTACAAGCTTTACTATTATGTGTCTTGTTGTAATTTTCTTTTCAGTGTGGTAATTGAGTGTTCTTCTCACTTCTTGTATGTTATATTTGTCTCCTTTTTCATACTTGGGAAGTTTTCTTCAATAATCTCGTTGAATAATTTCTCAGTTACTTTATCTCTCTCCTCACCTTCTGGATGCCTATAACTCTTATATTTCCTCTCTTCATGGAGTCTGATAATTGTCTAAGGGTATTCTCGTTTTTCTTCCTTTGCATTTCTCTCTCTTTTTCTCTTTCGGTTCTTTCTGTTTCTATATCTTCAAGAGTACAGATCCGTTCTCCCATTTCCTCGGTTCTGTTTTCAATGCTTGTCCAAGAGCTCTTTGTCTCCTCCAGTAATCTTTTAGCCTCCTTCTTTTCTTTTTTTTTCCTTTCTTAAGGTCTCATTTTTGTTCTTCAGTTTATTGATTATTTGTCTCATCTCATACTTTATTTTTTTAAGATAATTTTTTTTAAGATTTATTCATTTATACAAGCACTGGGTACAGTCAGAAGCGTGGGAGGGTGAGAGAATTCACCAGAGCCAGAGCGGGGAACAGAACAGGCAGAGTGATGAAGTACACTGCTGAGGGGAGTAGTGGGTGCAGCAGGAGAGGGCTGTGCGCCAAGTGGGACCCTTGCCGGCAGGCGGGGATTGAACCGGTGCTGCAGAGGCTACAGGCAGCTTTGCAGCCCAGTGATCAACCGCTGCGCCACCAGGGAGGCCCATCATTATACTTTTTAATCATGATGATTATTAATTCTCTATCTGACAGGCAGAGAAGTTCTTCCGTGTCATTATTGAGCTCTGGTGACTTATTGTCTTTTTGTGGTATGTCCTTTTCCTGTGGGCTTGCTTGATTATTTGTATTTTTCCTTCTTCCTGCTGTTTGCTTTGTAATTTGTTCTATGCATTGGGACATTGTGCCACTGGTGTTGGTGGCCATCTCAATGGATCTCTCCTTCATGGGTGTCAAAAACTATTTACCAGACTGAAACCCGCACTGGTAGACCAAAACTCCACCATGGTGTTGATGTTGTGGCTGTGTTGCTGGGCACTGTCTCTTACAGTTCCCTCCCTCCGTATTTACTTAGTTCCAACAGGGAATGAGTAAGTTGGTGATTTTGCTCTGGTCATTAAGTGGCGCTAGAGACCTGTACTTGCCGACCTGTGCTTTTCCCCTGTAGTTCTCTGAGAAATGGAGGAGGAAGGGGAGCACCTCGACATAGGGGCTATTGCTCATACTGGGTGCTGTCTGCCCTGTGTTCACCCGGTGCTATGCCCACGGCTGTGTGGATCCTGTGCCCTGAATTCTGCACTCTAGTTCTCAATCTCAGGGTCTCAGATCCAAAACACTGGCTGTCACCCTGTGCAGTACCCACTGTTATGGCACGTTCCATGTCCTGAATCCTGTGCCTAGCTCTCAGTTCCAGGATGGGGTCTTGCTCCATGCCTTGTTACCCTTCTTACCCCCGTTTGCTTGTCCCACCCCCTCTCAGAACCTGAGGGTGGTTTTGGAAACCCTGTCTTCCAACTATTAGGAAGCTGGTGATTTTGTTCCTATCACTAGGTGGCACCAGAGATCTTTCCTAATGTCCTTCCAGAGCTGTGCGTTTCCCCACTGTGCGTCTCTGGGGAACTGAGTGGGAGGTGGCGTGGAATAGCTCAACGGCGTGGGGGGGGGGGTGTCTGCCCTGTGTCGTGCATTGTGGGGAATCCCATGCCCCGAATTTCATACCCAGGGTCTCAGTTCCAAAGCCCTCAGATCCAGGACGTGGGCAGTAGCCCAGTTCAGTGTCTACAGAAATAGCACCTTTTGCACCCCGCTCCCATGCCAGAGTGCCTGGTTTCTGATTACTCAGTGGGAGTCATTCACCTCAGTGATGGTTCCCACATGTCTCTCCATGAGCCTAAGTCTCGGGCACAGGGACCTGGGCAGCCATGATCCTCATATGCTTTTCAAGCAAATGTGCTTTTCCGCACAAGCTTACCATCTGGCCTTGGGCTATTTGCAGGTCTCTCCGGAGTCCTCATCTTCCTCTAATGGCACCTTTTGCTCACCTCCATGGAGACTCCCGCACAGTTCTCCACAGTTCCCATTGGCAGGGTGCAATACCTGCAGTAGTTCCTTTCCACCCACAGTCCCACTTGATCTGTAGTTTGTTGTTGGTGGTGGTGGTTTTCTTTCTGTTGGTCTGAGTGTGCCGGCTTTGTGGGTGCGGGAGGGCAGCAGGTTCTGAGCTTTCCTCTCTTATCGTCCTGGGGCAGTTTGCCAGAGTCACCCGTTTATCTTCCGTGTCCCAGTTCTCACAGGGACCTGCCGCTTTTCCTCTCTATTAACTTTGTTTTCTGGGAGGACTTACTTGCAGCATTTCCCGCCTCCATGTTGATCTGAATCTCCTAAAAGAAGTATTTTTTGAGTCATACTATTGATTCTTCATTAGTTCACTCTTCCATTAATACAAGTGTTCATCTAAGAAATCTTAGTTGAGTGCTTTTTTAGGCCCCAACTCAAGGATTTAGGCTAGATGGGAGCACAGGTACAAAGACCTGAAAAACTAGTCAACAGAAATAGTCACAGTGTGATCACCCTGATCTGACATTAGAATTTACAACCTTTGACAAAGATCCAGGTAGTCATAGCAAAATCCAAAGGGAGAAGGAATATTTTGTTTGTTAGAGACCTTCCTGCTCTGGAACTAAAGTTACAAAAGTTAAGATTTTCCTCCATTCAAATCAAATAAATAAATAGTCTCATTCCCTCTTTTGTATGCACCCACCATTTAGAAGCCATAAGACTCCTAGTAGGTATGACACCATGCCTCCATCTCTCCTCAGTGCATTAGTCATTTGGTAAGATGTGTAATTTAAATTTATCCTCAACATGAAAAGTGGCTCTGAAAATTTTCCAAGTACCTGCTATAATGAGAGTGAGAGGAAAAAAAAAGAAAGGCAGAGGGACTGGGGAGGTTGGAGAGTATGAAGGTTTAAAATCAAGCACAGTGAAGGCTCAAAATCATGCAGAGTTTGCAGCTGGTTGAGCAATTTATCTGGGGATTAATGACATAAGCATGCTGCCCTGCAGGAGGCTATCACAAGGGGGTTCTTAGGGAAGAGAGTCATCACCCAATTTCATTTTGGGCACCCAGCCACAGGAGCACTCCAAGGTCAAGCTCTGGCATTTAAGTGAGACCATTATCCAGGGGTTCCTCTCCACACCCTGATTCCTAAGGAGGGTTGAGAGACTTGCAAACAATGGCAAACAACCTCTGGGCTGTGTTGCACGCTCAGCCCCTTGCCCTCCTGACCTGCCTATCTTTGTTTCTACAGGGTGGTGCTCAGCATGGCGGGGATCCCCGGGCTCCAATTCCTGCTCCTTTTCCTCCTCCTCTGTACTATTGGGCAGATAAGTGCCCAGTGGAAACCGACTTGGCCTGCCTACCGCCTACCTGTGGTCTTGCCCCAGTCCACCCTCAGCTTAGCCAAGCCAGACTTTGGGGCAGAAGCCAAATTGGAAGTGTCTTCTTCATGTGGACCCCAGTGTCATAAGGGAACTCCACTGCCCACTTACGAAGAGGTCAAGCAGTATCTGTCTTATGAAACACTCTATGCCAACGGCAGCCGAACAGAGACACAGGTGGGCATTTACATCCTCAGTAGTGCCCAGGGTGAGCCTGCGGGAAAGTCTCGGAGGAAGCGGCAGATTTATGGTTATGACAGCAGGTTCAGCATTTTGGGAAGGACTTCCTGCTTAACTACCCCTTCTCAACATCAGTGAAGTTGTCCACAGGCTGCACTGGTACCCTAGTGGCGGAGAAACATGTCCTCACAGCGGCCCACTGCATACATGATGGGAAACCTATGTGAAGGGAACCCAGAAGCTTCGAGTGGGCTTCCTGAAGCCCAAGTTTAAAGATGGCGGTCAAGGGACGAACGCCTCAACCTCAGCCATGCCTGACAAAATGAAGTTTCAGTGGATCCGGGTGAAGCGCACCCATGTGCCCAAGGGATGGATCAAAGGCAATGCCAATGACATTGGCATGGATTATGACTATGCCCTCCTGGAACTTAAGAAGCCCCACAAGAGAAAGTTCATGAAAATTGGGGTGAGCCCTCCAGCTAAGCAGCTGCCAGGGGCAGAATCCATTTCTCTGGTTATGACAATGACCGACCAGGCAATTTGGTGTACCGCTTCTGTGACGTCAAAGATGAGACCTATGACCTGCTCTACCAGCAGTGCGATGCCCAGCCTGGGGCCAGTGGGTCCGGGGTCTATGTGAGGATGTGGAAAAGACAGCAGCAGAAGTGGGAGCGAAAAATCATTGGCATCTTTTCAGGGCACCAGTGGGTGGACATGAATGGTTCACCACAGGATTTCAACGTGGCTGTTAGAATCACCCCTCTCAAATATGCGCAGATTTGCTATTGGATTAAAGGAAATTATGTGGATTGTAGGGAAGGGTGACACCAAGTTCCTTCCCAGCAGCACTTACTGGCCTTTATGTACTTATTGTAGGAGAGCTCAAATTTTATCACTGGGTGTTTGTTAGTGTGTGTGTGTGTGTGTGTGTGTGTGTGTGTGTGTGTTATATGGCATAGTTATCTATTTTTTTTAATTGCAAGATGACTGGCTTTATTATTTGAAAACTGGTTTGTGTAACATTTAAGCAGTTTAAAGGAGGAGTTTTGCATAGAAATAAAAAAACATGCTCATGTTTGGAACAATAGGGAATATTTAGTGATTAAGTTAATCTTTCACTTTTTGAGAATTTTGATTTTTATTTCATCTGAACTCATTTCAAAGATTTATAGTGAATGGGTGGCATACGGGAGATAGACTTTCTATTGTGTGTATGTGTGTATTTTCTCCTGAGAGTCATCTTTTCTGGTTTTGTTTTTTTTTTATTAATGCCCAGTCATTACTGTTTCTGGATGGCAGTGTTCCCCATGGCAAACAACTCTTTGGAACGTATACAATACTCTTTGACAGGCAGTCATTATATTTTGATGGGGCGGGCGGTTTGCAAGGTCGTCCTTGAGCTATAATATAATTGCTGACTATAATGCTTACATATTAAACCATATCTTCCAAAGACTGCTGCTCTACTTTTTGTGAAGACCTTGCATGTGCCTGTATGAACTTTGCAGTCTCACTCAGAGTAAGACGAGATCATTTGTGTCAATCCTTCCATTTATCAGGATCTTACTGACATTTCTTGAACTACCTTGCTTTTCAGAAGACAAATAATAATATCCTAATTAGAACAGTGCTATAGTGCTTCTCACTAACAGTACAATGGGTATTTTACCCTTGGAGTGCCACATCTTATTTAATCATGGAGGATGGAATAACTTTGGAAAATGAATTAAATCCAGAGAACAATGGATGTTTCGTTGGGCAGACGTTAGTTATACATTGTAAGTATATATTCCTAGGAAGACTAGTATAATATTTCCTTAAACACTCAACCTTCAACCAAAAGTTAAAAGGGCACCGTCATCAAGTAGGGAGGAGATGTCTCTCAGTGCTTCCTTTATCAGGGATTCACATGCTTGTTTGCACATTAAGAAGTCCTGTAGTAAAGACACATGTTAATGTTTTAAAATATGCATTTCAATAAACATCTTTGATGACACAACCCTTGTTTTCTCATATAATGTCTATGAGCAGTTTAGTGTTCAAATGAATACACTTTGGGAAACTCTGTGACCAGCCTTTAGTTCAAGGTGGTGATGAGGACCCCCCAGGGGTATACCAGGCATTGGTATTTTGGGGGTTCAACCAGAACCCTGTACCAGATTTGGAAATGTTCAAAGGGTAAGACTGGCAAGGATAATCCTGAAAGTCCTTTTTCACTGAGAATCAGAATATTGTGGTGGAATTTGGGACACATTTTTTACATAGATTTTATTTAGAATGAAACTAGTCCAAAAAATGGGAGGACAGCACTAAGGAGGTAAAGGATTATATCCTAATCAGTTTCAGAGCCGTATTCTATCTTTAACTTACTTTAGACCAGAAATGGATTTAAACAAAAAAAAAGAAAGCAATCTGGTAAGTGAGTTGGCACACAGGTCATGCTCTATTTTGCCGGCTCAGTGGGCCTGCTCCGTGGCAGGGCAAGCTGCAGTGGCACCTAGGTCAACCTTTCAGGTGGAGTCTGCACTATAGCGCCTAAGGGAGTCTTTAGTGCAGAACTTGTTGAGAATGACGAAGTCTGGCCTGAAAAAACGGCCTTCTAAATCTTAAGTCCATGTGCATCTGCTAGCTGCAGGACAGGTGACAGCCACCCACAGTGTCTGGGCAGTTCTAACAGTAGCCCCAGGATCTCCGCTCTCAAACCGATGGGTCCCAGCCAGGGGGTCTGGTGGACCATCACTGCACTGGCCTGCCTCTCCATCCTGCTTTATGTCTGCCCTTTCTCTTAATCCTTGCTATGAGCGAGCTCAGGGATGCCCCCATTAATTGATTTCTAATGGACTTTTTGTAGAAGCCATTTAATTTGTCATCCAGAATGGAATACATTAATAATTGAAAAGGATTATACTGATAATGAAGCTGGAACAGCAGGCATCACCCACGTATGTCCTGGAAAAACCAGAATGTCTAGTCCCTTGTTACAAGCTTCTTCTAAGCTCTGTATGGAATGTGGTCCAAGCCCATCCTTGTTAATTTCAGGACACTCAGCTCCCTGCATCTCCTCTGGATTTTCACTGTGGTTCCAATTGCATGCCTCCTTTTATGGGATAGGGAATTTAAACATTATTTTAATGGGTGACTCCCAGAGTACATTCTGTGGTAAATACAGACCCTCCTCAAATGCTGATCCAGAAGAAGGCACGTCGACACAGATGACCAACCCATGTGTTTTTAGTTTGGTATTTCCCCAAAGGAGGAAATAAACCAGCTTCCAAAATAAGAGTAAATAAGGCTGGGAGTGGGAGCGCGAGGCTGGTTTGGAAACATAATGGCCTTGGAGTTGACCAGACTGATTCCATGGTTGCCTGATTCAATGCCACTTAGCTTAAAGCTTAAAACCATCCTAGGTGATTCAAATATTCACTCTCAAGCTCCAACTCCTCCTTGTGCTGGGGGGGGAACAGATGAAGAAGGGAAAGAGCGACCAAACTTACTGACTCGCTGTGATTTCTCCTCAGTGGTTGCTGCTTGTCAGATAACACCCTCATTAACTCTTACCTCTGTTGATGTAACTCCATGTCTTGTGCTGTCGGAGCCCCCTTAGCTGTCAGACAGCCCTCTTTAGTAGTTAATCAGCAAGATACTTCAATCCCAGCCTGCCTCGTCCATTCCACAAAATCCACAGGAAACTTACAGACTCACTACATCCGACTGAGAGTTGCCCACTGGAGACCTAGGGAAAAATGTTTCAGACTCGGGGAGCTGAAGTGCAAGGGCTACTGGCAGTATCTAATTTGTTCTGTTAAAGAAGTAGACAGACGGCCTGTTAAGTCTCAGCACTATCACTGCTGTAGCCTGAGTTTGATCCTCTCCTGTCTTGCCCGTTCCTCACCTTGGGAGTGTATTTCAGTAGATCCACCTGTCCTGCTTCCCATCCTATCTCTGGTGAATCCTCTCACCGCCCCCCACACCTCTGACCTATACCCAGTTCTTGAATGCATAAATAAATAGATAAATAAATAAATAGAACCTTTAAAAAAAAAAAGATGAAATAGCTCAGTGTAGCCTGAGCAAAATACACAAGGAAAATAGTATCAAAGAGAGGCTTTCGGAGAGCTAAGTGTCTGACCAACTCATACAGGGACTACAGATTCTGAAGGGGCTTTGGAATTCATTCTTCTTGCAGGGAAAGACATTTCAAGAACTTCTAGTAGGGGAGATTTAATGGACTTTGATCAAAGCCAAGTATGAGGTCTAATAGGCAGGCGCATGCCTAAGGCATATAGTAATTTTAGGAATTCACAAATTGCTATAAATTCAAAATCCAAAGAAAGAAATGAACTTTTAAGTCAAAGGAATGTTTTAAGATATGTTAATATAGTCATCTTTACACCAGTGCAGTCATAAAATAGAACTTTTACTTTTTTAAGTCTCTCGAGGTGTGAGTATAAGGCACAAGGGGACATTCACTGCCTGGTCTTGCCTTGGCCTACCTTTCGAACCTGCTAAGATTTCTGCTCTCAACTGAGAGTCCTGAGCTAACCTCACTAACCTATCTGCTCCTTGCTCTGATGAGCAAAAGACTAACACAAACTTTCCCCAAAATGAATGTGCATAAGGGCCTCAAGGACTCTCCTGAGGAAAATGACACTGTGCAGTCTGCTGTGGAGCAGAGAAACTGCTGTCCTTCTTGGAGCACTGCCTTCATCTTCTTGACCTGAGCCAACTGGCAGGCCTTGTCCAGCCCGAGCAGCGGTAAGCGTGGTGCTCGTGGGAGAGATGGATCTCCACATCGGAGTCTTCACCTCTGCCAGCCAGTAGATGACTGTTTCAGGTTTCTCTCCAGCCACGTAATTGAGCTCCCATCTGAACCCCTCAGAGATAGCCAGCTGGTTGCTTTCATGCCTGCGTCTTCCTTCCTCACCAGCAAGGCTGTTTCCAAGTCATTTCCTCCTGGTTCCATGTGGCCTGTGGGGGGACTCCAGTGACTCCAGTCCTCTAATGCCTGCAGCAGTAGTGACACAATTGCGCTGTTGTCCACCTTGGGAACGAGGCGTCTTGGAAGACACTCAAGCCACATGCTCTCAGGGCCTAGGTCTAACTGAGAACCCAGCAGAGGGAAGCAGGAAGCAAGAGGTGGCAATTCTTACCACTTTTTTTTTTTTAAGATTTTATCTATTTATGCATACAAGAACTGAGGTACAGGCCAGAGATGCGGGGGTGAGAGGATTCACCAGAGACAGAGTGGGGAACAGAACAGGCAGACTGACTAAAATACACTGCTGAGGGGAACAGCGGGCGAGACAGGAGAGGTCTGCTGCACCATGTGGGTCACCTCCCTGGCCGGGGATCAAACTCGTGCTGCGGTGGCTGTGGACAGCTTCATTGATTGCATCTTAACCCCTTGTACCACTAGGGAGGCCCAATTCTCACTACTTGTTAATGGAAGAGGGGCATCTCTGAAAGCAAAGCACACAAAAGTCTGAATGCAGTCCTGGTACTGATCATATTTTACCCTTCTTTGGATGCTACATGGGAAAACAGTAATCAGGCAAGAAACAAAGGTGATATTGAGTAGTGGCCATATTAGAAGTAATGTGTATGTGTGGGAACAGAGCCTACCTGAGCAGATGTGGTGAAAAGGAGGAATCAAGAATGACTCTTAGGTTTGGGGTCATTCAAGTAGATTCCAGGTGCTATTTGCTGAGGTGCCAAGGACAGGGGAAAGCTGATTAACTTTAGGATGGAAGGGAATTGAAATCAAGAGTTTTTGTGTTGGTCACAATAGATTTGAAATGTCCAGAGACACCCAAAGGAGGAGGTCAAGGAAGCACTCCCAACTGTTAAGGAAGGATCGCTGCTGGCGAAACTCAGTGGACGGATCTCAAATCTATCATATATATAGATATAGATATATAGATATACATATAAATACCAGAAGATGGTATTTACGCTACAGAGTAAGATAATATCACCTGAAGAAAGAATGAGAGTTGAGAAGAGGGCAGAGTCCTCACCTCCAGCAAAGAGAGGATGACTCTGTAGAGGAAGAGGCGTTGGCAGTGGAGAGGTTAGAAGAAGTTGCCAATGCATTCGGAGGAAAACCGGGAAAATATGGCTTGATAGATAGAAGCCAAGAGAAAAGAAATCTCCCTCTGGCTACAGCGGGCCAGGCAGGAGGAGGACAGGGACCAGGAGGAGTCTTCTAGTC